TTTGGGAAAAAACAATTAGTGGCAACCTGCCTTCCATTGAGAACCTGTACACTGCACGAGTCAAAAAGAGGGCTGGGAAAATATTTACAGACCCCTCAGATCCTGCACATAAATTGTTTCAACTCCTGCCCTCAAAACAAATAGAGCACTGAACATCAAGACAACTAGACACAAGAACAATTTTTTCCCAAACACCATCACTCTGCTGAACAAATAATTCCTTCACCCCTGTCAAACTATTCACTAAGGCTTCATTATTATTACTATTAGTCTTCTCATCATTCCTATCACCCATCTCCTCCCACTTATGACTTCATGACTGTAGCTTTGTCGCTTATATCCTTACGATTTGTATTGATATTGATTGTTTCCTGATTGCTTATTTGTACCCTATGACTATCGTTAAGTGTTGTACCTTATTTTTTTATGTACACTGAGAGCATATGCACTAAAGACAAATTCCTTGTGTGCCCAATCACACTTGGCCAATAAAGAATTCTATTCTATTCTATTTTAGTGTACTTAGATTGCAACAGATATTGAGGAAGAATCTGCTTGTATCGCAGAGCTGGGAGGCAGGGGGAAGCAAGATCAAAGCCAAAATAAAAACAGACCTCCTCCAAGCCCTCACATTATCTGGTTCTGGTTTCAGAGAAGACAGAATCGATCCAGAATGTGACCAGTTCAGTCCTTAAAATGAAGAATATCACAAGGATAGGCAAGCAGGGAGCTGATTTGGAATAGCACATAGAGGGCTGATGGGAAAACTCTTCATTTTCTATAAATCACTGGGTGTGTAGTTTCAAATTTGAAAACCAATGACTGGATAAAGCAAGACTTGATTTGGAGGGGAATAAGCAGGAAAATTAGATGAAGCTCAGATACATTATGGACCCACTGGAAACCTGGATCTAATTGCTATTTACCCAGTAAAGTAAGTGGAAGAAAAGCATTTAAAATGCAAATTATCATTCTGGCTAATGTAGCTTGTTGGTAGAAGAAGGTCTGCTGCTGGTCAGTTACCAGTCTGAAACAATGTTTTTTTCAGTTTCTGAGCAGACAAAAATTGGGTTAATGGAAAAGTTTCTTTAAAAAAGCAAAATAAGCCAAAAGCCAGCTTGTGCTATTTCTTACATTCACTGATGGTAAAGTCAATAGTCATTAAGCCAATTCCACGTAATGACTCAACCTTTTCAATAAATTTCCCAGTGCCAGGTCAATGTATTAACACAACCACTGAGCAGTCTTTCATTGCCATCACAAAGTAAACAACTTACATGGAAGAACTAGGTAGAAGAGTTTGAAAAGAAAAAAAAAAAGAGCCAGGTAATCTAATCAAAATTAATCGGCTCTTTCACCAAGAAAAAAATGAGGATTATTAATGGCACTGTCATTCGGCTATTTTGAGAGACTGAGGCTGAAACAAGTTGTGTTAGTTCTGATAAACAACACAAATAAGATTTGCTTGCTGAGGAAGTCTGGAAATTGAAGTCCCCACAACTTAAAAATCACTAAGGTCAAGAAGCATAATAATAATGATAATAAGCCTAATCAGGCTTTTGAGTGCATGTGCTAAAATAAGCCCTCCCCCAAAATATTGCAACACAGCAGCAGTCATGAGGTGAACACGCTCGCCGCCTCCTGCACCTCAAAAATAATAAGACTTACCTAAAAATAAGGCCAAGCGCTTATTTTGGGGATAAAAAGAAAATAAGACCCTGTCTTATTTTCAAGGAAACACGGTAAACTGAAACTAAAGTTCTGTGTCCTAACTCACTATTTTGAAGTAAACAAAGGATGATTTTTCACTTAAGCTGACTATCTTCTTAACCTTCTCTGGGGAGTCTTCAGAGTGAAGCACTGAAAAAGTGGGCACTCCAAAATAGTCACACACTGTTCTAGGCCTTACTGAGCTAAGTAGTAGGTGAAGCCAATCTGGGTTTGGGCTAAGGGGAATGGGGGAAGCAGGGTCCAACCCTTCTCTGTTACCGTTTGCAATCAGATCCACTGAGAAGCAACATTATTCTTTTGAAGGCAGAGCTATCTCTGCTTCTCTGTATTTCTTCTATTAGGATGGATTTCTTCTCTTGGTGGCAGTGACTGACTTATGGAACTATATCACCAAAGAGATGCTCCTAGCAACCATCTGTCATCAATGTTGATTTTTGATCTTTTCAAGGCTCATATGTCTGCCAACCCGAACTACAAGTAGTCCTTGACTTATGACCACAATGAGTCCAAAATTTATGTTGTTAAATGAGACATTTTTAATGTGCATTTGCTCCACTTTATGACCTTTCCTGCCTCAGTTGTTAAGTGAATCACTGCAGTTGATAAGATAGTAACCCAGTTATTAAGTGAATCTGGCTTCCCCATTCACTTTGCTTGTCAGAAGATCTCAAAAGGTGATCACATGATCATGGAAAGGCTGCAAGAGTTGTAAGAAACAGCCATAGCAGCACTTTTTTCAGTTCTGTTGTGACTTTGAACAGTCACTAAATGAACTGTTGCAACTTGAGGACTACCTGGGTAAAATCCAAAGAGCCCATCCTCTTTGCCAGGGCCAGTTCTGCGCGTCCAAGGACAGCAATAGAACCTACATGCCTTTTTAAAAAAGATTTAGATGTTCATTAAACTGATACTTCCAAGGGCTACAGTCCAAGCCAACTCTAGCCAGTCAAACTGGGCTAATTCTGGCTTCCTTATTGTTTGTCTTTTCTTTAACCTGGGTGGAGCCGGAATATCTGTTCAAATAGATCAGTGGTGGGATTCAAGGGGTGAAACAACTGGTTTGCTGAGCTTGTGCAAAGCGCACACAATGCGTTTGAAAACTTACCTTCTACTGCAGCCCTGGTGCAAAACAGCTGAGGCATGGCAACCCACTCTGCCATACCTATCAGCCAGAAAAGGGAATATAGTGCAGGGGTGGGTGGGCTCACCTGATCGTCAGGGTAAACCAGTTCACTCTCAGCTGATGGTCAGAGCTACCAGTTTGCCCAAACCGGTCCAAACCAGCTGACTCCCACCCCATCATCAAATAGATGATGTTCAAGGAGAGGATCAGCTTCTGACAGGCCTTCAAAGAGAAAGTTGTTCTTTTAAAGAATGGCCTAGGAATGGCAAGCTAATAAAAGCCAGGGATTTGATTCACCAAGATTGCTTATTTGCTTAAATGTATTAGCCACCTAATTCCAATGGATGGTGTCTCCCAAAACATTGGAATCCATTCTGCTCTGTACAATGTGTGCAAGACTAATTTTTATTGAAGTTCCACTGTGTATCCACTGCTATCACAGTCGGTGAAATATACAATTTAGAGATAACAAACACTTCAATAATATAAACTTGCAATGCAATATGCTAACTCAAATGTTGTTATAAAAATCTTTCTGGGCACAGGGATGTGAAAAGGTCTAAACATTTTCATAATTGAACAATATAATATTTTTGTACAATAAGGTGCATTTTTCTTACAAGTACTGCTACAACATTTAATTATCAGCTTTCGAAGCTGGCTGTATTCCAGCAACTTGAACTTGGCCTTGTGTTTTTAAGCAAAAATTCTGAATGAAGGTTTCTTTGGGAAAAGATAACTATTATCATATAATAGAAAGCATTGCTTTCCATGAATTTAGCATTATACCTATAAAATCTTTGGTACAACTATTTTTAACAGCTTAAAACTGATTAAGTAAAAATGTACTGCTCAGCCCAGCACTCTTAAAACTGCCTAATACATTTAATCCATAGAATTAATGGACATTTACATTAGTTTTAATTTTGACTGATTTCTTAAAAATAAATTTCTTCTTTTTTATTTATATACACGAGTAGTAGTCAACCTGGTCCCTATCAGCCATTAGTGGGCATTCCAGCTTTCATGGTGGGCGGTAGGGGTTTGCTGTAACTCTGCTTTATAAATTTTATAAAGTTATTTCCCTACTTTATAAATCAGCATTACTGTGGAACCGGTGGGTGGTTAGAAAAATTTACTACTAACAGAGATACAAAAGTGGGCAGTAGGTATAAAAAGGTTGACCACCCCTGATATACACCCTCCAAATTATGTTTTAATTTAACAATATTTCATTCAATTTGTCCTTTAAATGTACAGAATTACAATTCCTCTATGTAGGATGATAACAACATGTCTGGATATTCCGTCATTAAAAAATAAAATTCCACAGATAATGTATTAGATTAGATAGAAATTGCGGCAAATTTTTATCATTTAATCTGCTATAGGCAAAAATTACAAGTTGCCAGAAGACATCTCCAACACCATCTAGAATGGTCTTACCTTGCATGCCGAACATGAGAAAGTAACATCAACAAATTTGCCAAGCGAGTTGTTTGTTGGGGTAAAGGGACCCCACTCTTTGCAATGACCCACACCAACGCATCTGTCACTGAGTTTAGCAGATGGTTCAGTTTTTTGTTGCTCTCAGGTTCTTCTGTAGCAGATGACATTGGATACATGCCTACACAAGAGTACCAAAAATCAATGTTATTAGGAATCCACCTTCCCTTTCGATGATTAAATATGCTTTAAACATTAATGCTCTTGGGGGTAGCTTTCCAAGATTTAAGGTAGGAAATGTAAGTTTCCAACTCAGCCTGAAAATTCTGGGAAACAAACCTAGAAATCTTTACATACAGAGCAACTACTCTAGAACTAAGCTATAGCCTTGCTTTCTGATATAATAATAATAATAATAACAACAACAACAACAGCAGCAGCAGCAGCAGCAGCAGCAACACAACAACAACAATCGTGGTTGATACATAGGATCCTGACAGCAACCTATATCAACCATTAGCACCAGTTCATGGTATTTGTGACACATTTTTAAATGTTCAGTTAACTGAGTTTCATATTTAATGAATAAAGTTAATAATATAACAGTGATACCCATTGTCATCAGGGCACTTGGTACCATGTCCAAGATTTGTATAAAACACATCAAGAAACTGTAGCTTCCTGCAATAACATCAGCAGAACTGCAAAAAAACTGCACCACTTGGAGCATCATACATCTTAAGAAGGTACTTGGTTGATACCTAGGACAATGGCAGCAACCCGTATCAACTATTAGCACCAGTCAATGGTAATTTTTGGTGCATTTTTGAATGTTCAGTTGATTGAGTTTCATGTTTAATTAATAAAGTATATAATAATATGGAGAGAACAGAATAGAAGAGAAAGAACTGGAGAAGATAATAAAATACAAAGACCTGCAAATAGAAATAGAACGACTATAGCAAGATAACAAATGCAGTAAAGGTAAAGGTTCCTCTCGCTAGTCGTTCCGGACTCTAGGGGATGGTGCTCATTTCCATTTCAAAGCCAAAGAGCTTTGAAGATGTCTTTGTGGTCATGTGGCCAGCATGACTAAACGCCGATGGTGCACTGAACGCTGTTACCTTCCCACCAAAGGTGGTTCCTAATTTTTCTACTTGCATTTTTACATGCTATAGTCGTT